CCCTACGGTGAGCTTTCCCAGCACTTCCTCACTCTTCTCCGTGCCTCCCCCCCCTTTGATCATTTGATCAACATCTAATCTAGCCCACGTAGCTGTAAACTTGCTGAAGGCGATGTCTCCTTTTGGTCCCCCTTTGAGTCACTGAGTGTCTGTGGGCTGGTCGAGTGAACACATCCATGGGTGGCCCCTGAAGAACCCCTTTGTGCCAGGTGATACAGGGTCACAGCCCCTGGCACCAGGCTTCCTGCCACTTCTGCAAGACTGCAGGCAGCTTCCTAGTACGTCTTTGTACCTGAGTTTCTCCATCTGTACTATAACTACCTTATCGGAGTTCAAGGAGCCCTTGGTGGTACAGTGGGTGAGGTGCTGGGCTGCTAAACACAAGGTCGGCAATTCAAGCCCAGCAGCTTCTCCGAGGAAGAAAGACGAAACTTTTTATGCCCCTGGAGTTACAGCCTCAGAACCTCAAAGGGGCCAGTTCTACCTGCCCTGGAAGGTGGAGATGGGTCAGGACCAACACAAAGGCAGTGAGTTTGGATAGGGGTGCCAGAGTCCCTGAGTGGCACAAATGATTGAGTGCTCGATAACTAGTTGGAAGGTTGGTGGTTCAAACCCACTGGGGGCACCTTGAGAGAAAACCTGGCAATTGACTTTTAAAAGGTCATCGCTTTGAAAGCCCTCTGGGGCCGTTCTACTGTAGCTGCGCCCGTGCATTGGGGATCGGCTTGACGGCACCTTAATGGCATAGAGTTGTTATGAAGTTGCAATAATATATGTACGTCACATATGCACCAAGAGCACACATACGCATCATCACTATATTATCCACTTCCTTTCCGACTATAACGGTGTTAAAGAAGGTTCTTAAAGAGACAGGTCTCCATACTCATTGTGATGTTCAGTCTCTCGAGTTCTGAACCTGAACCTTGGGGCAATTTGAATTTGTGACCCGACTGCAGGTTTTTACCTTCAAGATGTACAATGTATGCCTCTGTTTAACATCGGGGGAAAAACATCCACTTATACTTTTATTTCTATTGGATTTACATTGATTTCCTTCCCAGAACTAGCAATCATCTGTGACTTTTGCATTTGCAGATCACAGCAAGGCTCATACTGTTCATATGACAACTCAAAAATAAGCCCCAATATAGCAAAGATCCCCTAGGCCAGGCCTGAGAGTAACGGACCCCACAGTGAGTAGCCCCTCATTGGTGGCGTGATGCACGGACAGGTAGCTCACTCTGGAAGGAGTCCCTCAGGGGTGGGGTTCCCCACCACAATCCAGGCTCAGTTCATAGCTCTGCTGGTTCCCCTCCATCCTGTGGTTCAAACCTGGCCATTCTCAAAGACCACTTCAATGCTTTTTGTGAAGCCCTCTTACCGATATTCCCCCTTCTCCACCCTCAATCCAACTTTTTGTAGGGGTGCATCTTTCTTTCAACTAGAGTGTGACTAGGAGTCCTGATGGACTCGCAGTGACTCATCACGAGGCCAGCAGTTCCAACCGGCCAGCTGCTCCTCAGGAGAAAGATGAAATTCGACCCTGCCCTATGGGCGCTCGATGAGTGGGAATTGACTCAGTGGCAGTGAGCTGAGCTTATAAATTCCTTGAGACTGATAACATTACTGTATTTTGTCTTGAGAAAACATTCTTTTTCTATAAAATTGAACTTTTTCTTTTCTTTTTGGGCGAGTTGAACTTTTTGACACTAAAAATGGAACTTTTTTCAAGACTGACCAAATGCATGGATACGTCAACGCCCAAGTGAGGAAGTGACTCTCTTACAGAGCCACCTCCTCCTGCAATGAAGGTGCTCAGGATCATGAGGTGTCAATAGGATCAGGTATCAGGCGTCAAAGTACCAGAACAAAAAATCATATCATTGTGAAGGAGGGAGAGTGCGGAGTGGAGACCCAAAGCCTGTTTGTAAGCAATTGGACATCCCCTCACACATCTGTAAGGCAACTGGACATCCTCTAACAGAAGGGTCGAGGGGAGGAGATGAGCTAGTCAGGGTGCATTATAGCACCGTTGAAGCATAAAACTTTCCTCTAGTTCTTTAATGCTTCCCCCCGCCCCCACTATTGTGACCCTAATTCTACCTTACAAATCCAGCTACACCAGAGCATGTACACGGGTACAGATAAGACCTGGAAACACAGGGAATCCAGGACAGATAAACTCCCCAGGACCAATATTGAAAGTAGCGATACCAGGAGGGTAAGGGGAAGGTGGGGTGAGAAAGGGGGAACCGATCACAGTGATCTACATATAACCCCCTCCCAGGGGATGGACAACAGAAAAGTGGGTGAAGGGAAACGTCGGTCAGTGTAAGACATAAAAAAATAATTTATAACTTATCAAGGGTTCATGAGGGAGGTGGAAAAAACGAGAAGCTGATACCAAGGGTTCAAGTAGAAAGAAAAAGTTTTGAAAATGATGGCAACAGTACAAATGTGCTTGACCCAATGGATGGATGTATGGATTGTGATAAGAGTTGTACGGGCCCCCAATAAAATGATTTAAAAAAACAACCAAAGTCAACCACACCTTCACTGCCAAAGTCCAAGGAGAAAGGGCCATGGTGCAGAGGGAGGTGGGTGGGATTCAAGACAGATGGTAGAGAAAAGTAGTTAGTGTAAGGGGAACAACTTTTTCCAAAGGTGTGGCATTTATTTAAAAGATAAGGGGCGGGGGAGGGAGGGGGGAAGAGGGGAGGGAAGAACCGACTGCCACCTCCGGATCCCATCCCTTTGTCAAGCTCGACAGTTCCTTGTCTGTGGCTGTAACCCAGGTGCACACAGTCACGCGTGTACTACCGGGGAATGAACCCAGCATCCGGGGCTGAGGGTTGGCGCAGGGAAACGGGTGCGGGAACGTGCCAGGGGGGCTGGGGCCAGCTGAGTTCAGCTGAGGCAGCTCCCTTCTCGGCATGACCCAGGCATGGAGACACACGGATGGCCGCACGCTTACAAGTGGGCATGGGTTTTTATTCTCAGTGCAACGGCAGTATTGGTTTCTGTTCATCAACAAAAGCTTTATTGGTTCCCCCCCAAAACAATCCCTTGTATTCTTCCACAATCCTTCTGGCTGTCCTTCCTGACTCTGCGGAACAAACACATCGTATTGCAGAGCCATCCCTCCCGCCCCGAGAACCATATAAATATACATGCGAAACATTGTACACAGAGCTTAAATAATATCGGAATGCAAATACGGAGTGGGTGCACTGTTAGGCTGAACTGCAAAGGGCGACACACGCGGGTTACACACTGCGTTGACTGCGTCATCTGGTTGTTGACGTCATGCAGACCACAAGAGGCGAATCTTTTGTTGTGTTTTCTTTGTTTTTGTACAAAAATACCAGTGCTTATTTTACTAGTTACTGGGAAAAGAAAGAAACCCCAAATTCTTATCTACGTGCTGATTTGAAAAGAAGACCTTAGCTACACTTCTTGGCACATATATATGGCATATTCACATATGGCATATATACATATGGGGGAGAAAGCATGAACCACAGGCCAATTTCGCTCTGGGGAGATCCCCCCCCTCCCCCCAGGCCTGAGGGACGGGGACAGCCGGCCTGACCGCAGGGGGAGCAAAAATGACAAGCGGGAGGAATGGCACCAGGCTGCGTGGCAGGGTGTGTGGTCTCCTCTTAGAAGGGCTGGGATGATGTAGGACTGTAGCGGGCATTTGTAAACGCCCACCCCACCGTTGCAGCGGTCGGTGGTCCGGAGACATGAGAGGGGGTGGTGGTGGTGGGAGGTGTGGTGCTCTGGTGGTACCCCGGACTGCTGCGAGTGGGAGGCCAGGGAAGCAGGCAAGGAAGGGAGGGGCGCAGTGAGACAGGCCTTCTGGGGTACGTGACCTTGTCACAGCCCTCTGGGGTTCCGGCAGAGAGGTGAGCACTCAGCATCAAGGACACCCCCTTTCTTCTCCGCAGCTCTGGGGAAGAAACCCCCAACCTTAGAGAATCACTTGTGCCCAGAGGCGGGTTTCTAGGCGACCTCTTCTGCAGGGATGAGAGGGCACAGGACCCTGGGTGGAAGGATTTAGCCCCAGGACTGCTACCCAGGGCCTTTTTTGTTTGTCTTTTCCACGCAGAGCTCTATCCCCGATCTAGTATGTTGCGCGCGCTCACAGCCTTTCTAGGGGAGGGGAAGGTCACCGATCCCATCCTGGTGCCAAGGCTCACGGATGGAGAACTCCAGGAGGAACGGGAAGTGAAGGAGCCAGTCAAGGAAATGCAAACCGCATCTCGGGTTTTCCTGACAGACGGTGATGTACTGATGCCAGCAGTGCTGCACGAAACACACCCCACGTGTGACCGCAGGTCCCTGCTCCTCACCGCTGGGCACACCAGACCCCCGACACCCACTTCCTGTTTCTCCTGGAAGTCTGCCCTACCGCTTCTGCCAGCAGGCTACCACCCCCGGCGCCCTGGGCTTGCCAAGAGAGCACTAAGACGCTGCAGAGCCTTCTCCCCATCGGGCCCTTTTCAAATCCAAAGCACCATTTTGGGGGGAAAGCTTTATTACCTTATGCCATATTGACTCGTTGCCTGTTGGATCACAGAAACGGAATAGAAAAACTGATATATATATATATAAAAAAACATATGCACATAAACACTTGAAACTTATTCAATTTCATATCAACAAAGTTTATATTAAAAAAGTCTAGAACCCAACATGTTTGTTTGCTTCCCCCGCTAAGTATAAAGATGGCTGTTTGGAGAAAGAAAGTACGGTGTATTGGCTTTGAGACCAACTACAAATGTACCAAGTCACCCGTCATGTCAGACAGCTGGTTGTGCGTGCCCTGCCGCAGGGTCACACGATGGCACTTCATTTTAAATCCCTTAAACAAAATACATATGGCTGACTCAAAAATATCAGTTTCTGATCTAACGAAAACTAGATATATATATATATATATTTTTGCATAATGTTTCTACCCCCCCCCTTATAGGAACTAGCACACACACACACACACACACACACGCACACACACAAATAAAACAAAATGAAAAACAAAACCGTTGACTTAAAAAAAAAAAAGTCGGCCCAAACCTCAGGAGTAACCTGTCAGGCCCCACGAGGGTCTTTGAGGCGCAGGAATGGTAAAAGAGCCTCCAGACTTTGTGATTGGCTTATTTTAAGGACGGATCTGAGGTACTAAAAGACCAGAAGGGACGAAATCTCCGCATGCACTCAATAAACATGTAAGTGACCACCTAATGTCTGCAGTGAGCTTCCTCTGCCCCCGGGCTTTCAGGATGAGAGCCACTGCAGCGGTGCTGGTCGCAAACCTAAGACTGACTGTCCCCCAGTGCTTGCGGTGGTGAGTGGTGTAGTGGTGGGCGTGTGTAGGGAGTATTAATTAGCTCTGCTCAATAGCGCCGCCGGCCACCCCCCCCCCACTCCCGGCCTGGGATCCAGAAGGAGAGACTGGGGTGGGGGTGGGGGGGGGAGGTCCAGGCACCTTTCTCACAGATGGAAATGTGACAGTTCCCAAAAGCTAGTCCCATCTTTCTAGAAAGAGGGAGGTTTCCTTGAGCTCCTGGGAGATGGGAATTGGCCCACGTGCGCTAACCCCTCTACCCCACGGAGGGTGAGTCAACAGGAGCAGGGGCCATAGAGGAGCAAAGAGAAACGTGGCTCCACGTGGTCCCGCTCAGAAGCACTTGCAGAAGAGCCTCTCCTAGCAAAGTCCGCAACTTCCAGGGGCAGCCGGTTGGCATGCTTCCGGCGGTGTTGAGGGAAAGGACACAGGGCTAGGCCGGGCAGTGGTGTGTGGCTAGGGAGGGCTTGAGTGGGAGACAGGAGAGGGCGGAGAGGAGAGGTGGATGGAGAGCTATTCCATGTTCCTTTAAGTCCACAGAATGTCACCGGAGGCCTGCATATTTGGTATACAGTATTTTCCAAATCGGAAGGTTTGAGAAAGGCCAGGATCTTCTCAGAGGCCGGGCGAGTTTTTAGGACCCAGCAAGGGGCAGAATAAGGAAACCACAGAGCACATTAAAGTTGGTGCCCCGGCACCTGGGCTCAAGGTTTATGGTCCCTGCCAGTGGGTTTGCCCAGACCCTGCTGGGATGGCCCCAGCTCCGTGCCTTCCCCTGCCAGGCTTCTGTGGGCTCAACTCACTCAACACTCAGATCCTGCCCTGGGGGGCTTTGGTTTAGCTGGCAGTAAGCGGTCACCTCAAGACAGGCCCGCAAGTCTGCTTTCACGGACAGCCCGGTCCGAGATCTGCCAGCTGCTGGTCCTTGGTATTTAAGTCCAGTGAAGAGCAAGTTCATACCCACATCCATTCTTGGGCCAACACTTTAGAATCAGGGGAGGCTTGGGCCGGGGGGTGGGGGTGGGAGTGGCACACGACACACCACACATACGCTTCATGGTCAAGACTGCTCTCTCTGGCACTTCGAAAGTCACCCACCCCTGACAGGTTAGATGGAGAGGGCAACCTGGCAGCCGCAGGGAAACGTCCGCGCAGACTTCCGATGGCTTTAAAGGACCCTTTCGGCAGAGGACCGGTCTGCCTTCAGGACTGAACCCAGGGTCCCACTGGGCCCAGCCAGGAGACTTGTCAAAATGTATGGAATTCGCCCGGGCCCTCTCTCTCTGTTTTCTAATGCATCTCTCTCTCTCTCACACACACACACACAGACACACGCGCACACACTCATTCACAAAACGGTGGAGGGGAGGAAGACTGGGGTGACATAAAATCCAAAGGGCCTCGGGGAGGTGTGACCAGACAGGCCAAAAAAAAGAGCTAGGGGGCTTTCGGTATACACCGAAAGAATTGTTTAAAATGCAATCGCTCTGCAGGCTGATTCTGTGCATCTCCTCCCCTGCTTCAGTGTATTTCATTGGGCGAGATTTGTGTCGCTTTGAACCTGCGGCTCGGCTTGAAAGTGGCAGGCTCCAGAAGTCAGGAGAGGGCAAAATGCATGAGACCGTGCGGGGAGGACTTGGGTCAGAGCGATGTCAAGAGGAGTGTCGTCATGTCTTTCGTTAACAACGGTCACGCTGAGGACAGACCCTCCCGTTGCCTGCCTGGGGGCTGCTGGGGGTCCCGCTACAAACCCTGACTCAAGTTCAGCGAAATCTTTGTCGGTCTCGGCTTTTCCCTCTCCATGGTCAGGTGGGGTTCAGACGTACACGTGAGCAGCTGACCCATCGTTACCGTACAGACAGGATAGATGGAAAAGGAGACAGAGAAAGCAGGGATGGGAGTCAGAGCTCGGGAAGTTCACACGGATGTTTCCAGGCTGTGGACAGGGCTGCCAGAGCGGGAGGTGGTGACCTGGCCCTGGCTGCAGTCCACCGCGTTGTTGTTTCTGTTGGCGTATGGGGTGACCTCGTCATCGATGGGGAACACCTTCGTCTCAGACTTGAAGCCCTTTGCAGGAACATCCTCATCTTGGTCATCCAGGGTGGGTGTCTGCGGCCCCTCCTCGTCTATGGAGAATACGGGTTGGTTCATGAAGTTGTGGATGGAGTTCTGGTGGGCGGCGGTCATGAAGCTCTCGTGGAAGGAACTATGGAATGCTTTGATCACCTTGATCTACACCACGGGGAGGAGAAGGAGGGGAGAAGACAAGGAGGTGAGCCTCGGCCAGCGGAACCAGGAGCAGGCGGTCTTGTGTAGAGAAACCGAACCGCAGTTACCGAACACAACTGCCCGACAGGCCAAATCACCCGCGGGTGGGGGCTGTGGAGCATGAGACGTCACGTGGCTCATGTCTCAAGCATCGGGGTGGGGGTAGGGGTGGAGGTGGCGGTGAGGTGGGGTGGTGACGGCGGACAAGGATGGTTCGCAAGCTGCGTTTGAAAAGAAAGAAAAAGAAAAGAGGCAGACAGACAGAAAGCCCAAAGCAAAGTGAGCATCCCCCAAACCAGTCACGCTTCAAAGCAGACAGAGAACAGAAAGCGTTGTTAGTTCTCGCAGGCGGAGGGCAACACGAGGGCCAAACACGAGAGGTGGCTCAGGCACGCGGGCGCCCAGGTGGGGGCCACACGCTCTGTGAGCGGAGAACGGGAAAATCACACACTGCCGTCCAGTCATGGGTTGAAACCCCCCCAAGAGCCGCCAGAGGTCCACCCGTACGTCCTGCACTGTGGGGGGGTGAGTGACCATGAACATCGTGCAGCAAGGCAGGCAGATTCATCTCCATTGGGTCAGTGGCATGCAGGACATGAACACGTTGCAATCAAACAAGCCACTCTCTTGGTCAAGAGGCATGCACTGACTGCCATCCCACAACCTCTTTCACGTCCCTCCTTCCTGGCACCCACCTCCGCCTCCCCCACCCCCTCCCCTCCCCTAGAAGGCAAAACGCCACTATTTCAGTCCCTCCTGGAGGATGTCAATGAGATACAGTTACCCAACGTCATCTTCCTCCTGACCACCAGCCCGATCAAATGCACGACACACAGTAACTGTTGCAAACCATGCAGCTTTCTCCAGCGGGTCTCCAAAGTGTGAAGGTGGGAGTGTGAACTTATGTGCAGAGGGAAAGGACGGGGTTGGGAGAGACACCACCTGATCCAGGAGAGGTGGCAAGGAGGGGGAAAGAGCACACGAGGCAGGCTGACTGGGTAAAGGTCATTCTGAGTGTCCAAGTCTGTGATGATCTACTGCCCGAGAAGGAAGCGGCTCAATCCATTCAGAATCAGGAGGCAGCTACTGGCAACAACGAGCCATGCGGACAGCCTTTGTCTTAGTGACAAGCCCCAGCTAGCTCTCTTGCCAGTTTTGCTTTCTACGCTGGAGGCCTCTCTCAGGTCTGGCTTAGCACCTGGGTCACCCAGTGGGACAAGGAGGCCAGGGGAAAGGAGAGCTGTGGGAGGGCACGATGGTTGGGCGATGGCCCATCTTAACTCTTGTCCAACAAGTCTTCTCTCCAGAAAGGGAGTACTGCGAGAGGGATTGTTGAGGGAGGGGTGATGGAATGTGGGTGGTGCACGTCTTTGGTTCCTTTGCTACTTCAAGTTACACTATATTCCTGGAGGAGGGGCAAGGATATCGAGACGGGCAACACAACGGATTAGACTGCCCTTCCCGGTGCTTCCGACCAATCCCCCGATGGGTGGCTTTTCCTGGCCACACTCCCTTTGTTCCAGATGTTGGAGAGCTCAGCTGGAACGCAGGCTCCAACTGGTCTTCTGGAGGTTCCCAAGTTTTAACAGCTCGAGAGCACCTTGTGGAGCTAGGCAACTTGCTTTGTTCAATGGGCCCAAACCCATTACCTGCTCCCCCGGCCCTGACACAGATACACTGGCCAGCGGATGGGTCCAAAGCCACACCACAATCTGCGGGAGCGAACATGGCCCACACTTTCCACTGGTTTGGGGACCTCCAAACTGCTTATGTGTTAGGGGACCAGGTGCTTTTAAACTATCAGTCTATCATCTTCAATGCCATTGACAGTCAGATTTCCTGTTTTTAAAAAAAAATTTTTTTTTTAAGGAATTGAGTCTCTCCTCCGATCCAGCGCACGTGAAGCCCACGATTGAAAACAGATTTGTCAAACACGAGTTGGAGTGAGGATGTATGTGGAGCCCTGCCTGCTGGCTTTTGCTCTCTCCAGCTGGGGTGACCCACAGCACCGTGACAGGTGAGCAACGAGGGGGGCAGACAGAGCATTGGGGATGAGCAGAGGGAAAAAACAGGGAAGGGTCCTTTTTGTGGGCGTTGGAGGTTGAGAGGGAGCAGGAACCATGACCCAGCCAGGCTCCAGGACTTCTGAAATCTCCAGGGAATCCAGTCAGCTGTCAGCAAAGCGCAAGGGAAGGAGTCCGAGCGCTAGGGTGGACGCAGAGAAGGGCGTGGTGCAGCCCAGGACCCTCCTCAACCCCATCACTGGCCTCCGGGAATGTGTGAAGGATGGACAGCGGTATGACTGATCCACCCCAGGACGGGGCATCTCCCCTCCTGTGCACGGTATCTGTGTGTGTGTGTGTGTGTGTGTGTGTGTTTGGGGGGGTGGGGGTGGGGGATGGACAAGGCAAGGCTGGCGAAGCAGAAACTGGTACATCTTCTGGCACTCTCCACTGATCCCACCAGCCCTTCTGCCCTGGCTATCTTCTCCCAAGACATCAGTGAGGGCGGGCAGCAGGGAACTGTCCTTCTGTGACCCCCGGCTATGAGGTGGCCGTGGCTAATCGAGGACAGCTCTTTGAGTCAGGAGCCCCGGCCAGGTTGGGATGTAATTCAGCGGCAGATGGAGACTCTCCTCCGATGGGTGCCGCTGCCTTCTGCCCCATTTTCAGGAACCAGGGAAGGAAGATCAGACTGACTTCGTTATAGAGGGAAGTCCTAGATATCTAGCTGTTGAAAGCTGGACAACTAGCTGAGTTCATTTGATGATCTGGGTTTTTTTTTTAAATGCCTATAGCTATGTGCATATGAATAAACACAAGAGGGCTGGGGAGGGGGGTGAAAGAGGCACGTAAATAAGCAGGCATTAAAAAAGAAGAAGCTGACAGCAGAACAAACACCCCAGAAGCTACCACGTCCACCACGCTAAGGAAGAAGCACAGCAGAAGAAAGGGCAGGCGTGGCCTGTCCTCCCTCTCTGATCTCCAGCTTTCGAGAGTTTGGGGCACATCCTGCTGGACCAGGGGACTCTGCTTTCAGCGTAGTCTCCAAATATTTGATACAAATAAGCCCTTTGCAACAGAGGGGAACAATTTAGAAAGGACAGGAGCTGGCTAGAAAGGGGAAGGGCCAACGAGAAGGGGGGAAACACAGGAAAAGCCGGTGGAGCATGGAAGAACTAGAGCTAGACCACTTGGATATGTGCAGAGCCGATGTTCGTCCTTTCTCGGCTGTCTTTGAGCCGGGGGGAAATGTCTCCAGCGACGCCTCATCTCACAGCAGCACCCAGTTGACTACAAAGAAAATAAATCTGAGGGAGGGAAAAGTGAGGAGCTGATACCAAGGGCTCAAGTAGAAAGCAAGTGTTTGGCGAACGATGAAGGCAACGAATGTACCAATGTGCTTGACACATGGATGGATGTATGGATTGTGATAAGCATTGTACAAGCCCCCAATAAAATGATTTAAAAAAAAAAGAAAAGAAATATAAGTGCAGTCCACTTCCACAATTCATAAGCGTGCGGCAGACCACATAACTGCAGCTTTCTCCCCCGCTTGTCCTGGGTGGGAAGGTGAAATTAGGAGGGGGGAGGAAAGGAGCAGGAAGATACTGAGATAGCTGAAGCCTAACAGATACTCCAATGTACCATACTTAACGTAGAGAAATGCCTTCCCCACCAAGGAGTTTGATAGCTCTATTAACAATGAGCGGTTGGCACGCTGGTCTCTGTGGCCCACAGAGGTGACGGTGAAAGGAGACCAGGAACGGGTGGCATAAGCCTTAGTCAAGGGAACACCAGGTCTTAGTTGGGGAGTGGACGGCACGTCAGGGGACAGGAATGTTTCCTAGAATTTCCTGTGTCACATAACACATGGGGGGCTGACATGGGGGCACTAATGAAACTAAAAGGCAAGGCCAAATAAATAAACAGAAAACCATTAGTTTTCAGAGAGCCCTACCGAAATAATACACAAGGAAAAAAAGTTTATATGCTATTTTGATCTTTGCATATATTTTTCCTTGCTCAAATGTGAATAAACGGTTTCTGACACCAGAGATGGCTTAACGTTCCTGAAAAGTAAAATAACGGATGCTTAGTGGTGCACAACCATCGAGTGGCAGCTGACACACCCGTTGTCACCGGCCAAGTCCAAGGCTGGCTGGGTCCTGTCAGGTCTCCTTGTGAACAGCCCTGCGCACCTCGCTCTCTATTCTCCGGGGCACCTCGCTTTCCCGAGCACTGCCCGGAGTTCTGACAGTAGCCCGCCATTCAGGAGAGGCGGTAGGTTTGCACTCAGTCTGGTTTTCACTCTAGCTTAAGGGATCAAAGGAGCAGAAGGAAGGGAGGGACGACAACAGCAATATGCCCTGACAAAGCAAAATAAACAACAACAAAAAACCCTCTCAGGAAAGGGGGAAAACAACAATACAGAGACTCAGTCAGAAAACAGATTATCTTTAAAATGATTAAGGTAACAGCTTTAAAAAGCCCCCACCCCCCCCACCCGCCCAATAACATGGTACACAGTCTACTTCTTAGAGTGTGCTTTTTTTTTTTGGTGTGCGTGCATGTGCACGTGCGTGTGTCTTTTCCTCCCTTCAGGAGGGAGGACCAAAAAGAGAAGGTACCCCAGGCTCATTTAGGTGGACGCCATGTGCTCTCTTGTGGTCATTTCAGCAAACCATGCATCGTAATAGACTGTCACTCACTGCCCAGAGAAGGAGATGAAACAGCAGCGGCTGCAGCGACAGAAGTGGTGGGGGAGGATTTGATTGCTGCAGCTGAGTCATGGGACGAGCTAGGAACAAGTTTTACATCAAGCTGCTGACCCAGGGTCTGTCGCTTTAGGACTCCCTTAATGGAGGCGCCCGTCTGGAAAGTGTTAACTACGTCGATCTGCAAAGAATCAGAGAGTGAGACAGGCAGCTTTTCTCCACAGTCAGAGAGGTGAGCGCAGACGAGAGGAAGGAGGCTGGGGGGCTGGAGGAGCAGGGCAGAAGGAATTGGGAAAGGTGGGGACTGGCGGGGAGGGGACGGGGATGGGAAGTCAGCAAGGAAGGGCCACCCCAGAGCAAAGGGGAGGAGGAAAGGGCAGGGGAAGGGGGATGCTAATCACAATATTACATATCATTTCAGGAATAAGTAGCCAGGGAGTCCACACGCCCGGGCAGAAGCCGGTTTGCTTCCCTTTGGACTTGTGCGTGAGGGGTCAAAACCGTAGCTAAAGTTTAAAGGGAACCTCCAGCCACAATTCCCCACGGAAAGTGGGGGCTCAGCCCAGGCTTTGACCTGAGCCCTGAGGAATAAGACGTGCAATTTAAGACGCCAAAGCCAAAGTATAGACGCCCCACATTTGAGGGGCATGAGCCTCCAAATCCATTCAAGCTATTTCTACAGAATTCCCAGGGACGTCACTCCTGTCTGTGAAGAAACAAAAGGCAGTACAAGCAGCCCATACTGAGGTGATCGCACAGGGGCGGGCTCCTGGACCAGGAATTGCTGGGCTCTCCCTCTCTCTGGCTCTCTTCTCCCAGGTGCCTGGGCTGGAGTGGACAGGGCCCCGAGCCTGCAGCTCAGGAACTCAGCGGCCACTCTCATTCTAGAGAATGCCGCTAGCTGCCCGTGTGGCAGAGCTGTGGACCACCTAACTGAGGGAGGGAGAGTGGTGGGCAGCGGGGGTCAGCAGCTGCTGGGCCAGCCCGACACAAGCAGTGTCTGGTTCTCAGTGGCCAGGTCTTCAGAGACCCAGGCAACAGATGCCAATGACTCCCCCCAAATAATCTCAATCAGGGGCCTGGGTGAAGCCTGGGTCCTAAAGTTACAAGGCACAAGTCAAAAGGAAGTCCTGTGTCCTTCCCTGAACTGATGGAAGGGTCTTAGAGCTGATTCCACTCACGGGACTTCACTTCCCCGGGAGGAAAGGGGTAGGGACGCGGGCTCCTTGCTCTTATTTACAATGCTTCTGGAGCACCGTCAATGTGTCCGGCTGGATTCACACTACCACCACCTTTTGTCACATCCTAGGGTCTCAGCAAGGGGCTGAGAGCCTGACCCAGTGGGAGGGAGGGGCGGGTGTACATCTGTAGAAGGGGCTGAAGAGATGAGTATTTAGCCCCCTTGCTGACTAGCGTGACAGCACCCTGCCCCCGCATGAGCTGGGACCCCAGGTTTACCTTCCCAGGATCCTGGTTTTTACGTGGCCCAAACTCCTACTTTCCAGTGCTTTCAGTTCCGGGAAAACAAAACCAAAAACCAAAGGGACTGAAAGTGAGAAAGCGTGGCTTAGAACTAGGGAGAGGGGAGACCTCAACCAGGTCGGTAGACCAGCGTGTGTTGCAATGGGAATGACAGGGACAACCAGAGATCGTTAGCATCCTGCGGAGGCTGGGGAGGGGACGCTAGGAGAGGGCCTGCAGGTGTCCAGGAGGAAGGCTGCCAAAGTCAGCTTCCTCTGCTCAGACGGGAGCACGGAATCTGCTCCCCGTGGCTTCCTGCCTCGGTTGCTTTCGGTGCCTACGCTTGGGCTTAGATGCTCTTCTGCCCACGGCCCCTTGTGCTCCAGCAGGGCAGGCAGTGGACCAAACAGAGAGGCAGATGGCCGAGGGAGCGGCCAGTGGGAGCGGAGGGTCGGGAAGACCATGGAGCTCAGGCGGGCAGGGAGCCGGGAGGCACTGGAACGAGGGATCCTGGCTAAGAAAAACCCACACCCGCCCCAAGCACACAGCACAAGAGGCCTCGGGCGATCCTGAGCGGAAGAGAAGGGAAGACGAGTTACTTGGAAAAGAGCCCACAGGGAAGCACGGAGCACCCCAGAGCCAGGAGCCAGAGGCCCGGGGCGAGGAGCACACCAGGCCCTCGCTGTGATGGACTGGGCAGCCGGGAGCAGGGTCGGGGAGGGCAGGAAGGAAGTCTGGGGGCCACGAGGCAGTCTGTGCAGGTCCTGCTGGAAGTTCCCTCCCTGTGGAGAACGAGCGAGAGGAACGAGGAGCGCCCGCATTGCCCTGCCTACCCCTGCTGTTCCCACTGGTCCATAGACAAGCTCCCCTACCACAGGTGTCTGCTCTCGAATAAGTCATTGCGCCCGGTGCCCCGAGGAGCCGAGGAGGTAAGGCTGACAGGAGAACTTCCTCAACTATTTGCAGAGGCCAACCTTAGGGAGGGAAACTGATTTCTGGCCTCTGTAGCCAATCAGCAGAGAGAAATGAACTTGTTCTCTGGCAAACACTCTTGAGATCTCAGGGCCTCCCAGAGCCTTGAGATGGGGACTTTCGGTCCTGCTGCGGTCAAGGGAACAGTGGTGGGCAAGGTGGTAGAATGACCACGGCCTGGACCAGCCTGTCCATCCAGGAGAAGGTAGTTATAACGACTGAATGGAAGTTGTTTTTTTTTAAGTGACTCGGGGCTTTAGGCTGGGGCCTTAGGAGTGCCAGGAGAGCTTCCATTGCATTTGAGAAATCACAAGGAGGGCAGACGTTGGACCGAATGATGGCGTCTTCCTTTTCAGGAAGCCAGTCTGGATCTTGCAACAAGAGATATTCAAGCATCAAAAGGCTCTGGCGGTTCCTATGCATTGTTATTAGACTCCTCCATCACTGTCTGAAATGTTGAGTGGGGAAGAGAGGAGGGGTGTGTGTTTTGCACAAACACCCCTCTAGATCACATCTAAGTAGCTAAGGGTCTGCAGATACGTGATGTGTCTGTTAAGGTGAGGGCACAGAGACACGGTCCCATGCCTTCTTTCTGACGGGTGGGGGAAGCCTGAACATTTCCACCCTGGGGTTTTGGGTCAAGTCTAGTGCTTGTAAGAGACCTTCTGTGGGACGTCTGCCAGCCCTGCGACCGGCCAGTGGGCTTTAGAGCCAGCCAGTCTGGCTCAAGGACTCACCCGCTTGGTCCTCACATCTACTCTTTCCTCAGAAAAGCCCACTCCCACACCTCTGGCCCTGTCTGCCCTGATGTTAGGGAGCTAGGGCTGTGTACGGGCCTGAGGGAGGGGAGAGACGTTGGCCGCCAGCGACTGCTGCGTTCCCACCACCTCCCAAGGTGGGGAGGAAGGTCACGGTCCAGGTACCTGAGTCTGGATGCGGTTCAGGCCCCGGAACCAGAGGATCTGGCCTCGGCGCAGCTCCATCTCCCCATGGTCGATCTCATCCATGCCCTCTGCTTCCCTGGTGATTTCCTCTTTGGCGGTGCCATGCCCGGCCTCCTTCAAGAACTTCAGGGACTTGTTGGGTATCGAGGAGATGATCTGAGAACAGGGTGAGGGGAGTTGTCACGGGGGCAGGGTCCTTGGACGGGCCGGTCAGCCTCTGCACCAGGGACCCGGTAGAAGGCAGCGCTCATCCTCCAGGCAAACATTCACCCAGCACCCACCAGGGCCCAGGCTTTCTGTATTTGCAGAGAGCCAAAGGGGAGCTTGTCATCTTAGCCATCAACCAGCCACCTGCCGAGTTCTTTTTCCCTCTCCTGCTGTCTCAACTCCTGTCCATCTGCCCTTGAGGGAATCAGAGCTACACGGCAGCTATATGCTACACGGCAGGAATGGGCAGGCGCTGGGACCAGGGCACCATCGGTATGGGGACAGGATGGTCATGCTGTGTTTGTTCAGGTAAGGCGCAGAGAAGGCGGCTGGAAAGGAGCGACCCTTTCCTTAGCGAGCACAGGTGAAGGAGCTTTCGGGGGTCCGGTGAGGAAGTCAATGGCTAGGCCACGGGAGGAGGAGGGGACACACCGAGCAGCAGGTTGGGCTTTGGGTAAGGGGAGTCACTGCCAACGCCACGGGAGGAGGAGGGGACACACCGAGCAGCAGGTTGGGCTTTGGGTAAGGGGAGTCACTGCCAACCAGCGAGGTGGGAGACAGAGGCTGTGTGTTGGGGTCCCATAGGGAGCTCAGAGTTTTGGAATGGGGAGAGCGTCAAAGCGCTGCCCCTGGCTGGACGGTCAAGAAGGCCACACGTGAGGCCCTTGTCAGATGATGGTTTCAAACAGCTGGTAAAAGGGCTAAGCTTCACCCAAGTTTAAGACTACGTAGGGAGCCCACTCAGCAGGCTCCTCCACAGTAGCAGGGTAGAGGGAACTAGGTCAGGAGTTAGGACAGGGCTTCCAGGAGGCATAGGAGAAATAACTAGCGAGTCCACAGGTGCAGGCCTGCAGCCCCAGAGAGGGTTCTGTGCGGCCCCTTGAGACACGGCCTACATGGTTCGGCCAGAAGGACACCCGGGACAAGCAGACAGGACCAGAGGTCCCTAAGGCGGCAGCACAGCCCCGCCCAGGCTGGAGCGGGGATGAGGAAGACATGCCACCTCGTATTAGGGAGGAATTAGACTCTACTGGACTGGGTGATAGTAAGATATTATTAAGAGCTACCATTTCCTGGCGGAGCCCTGGTGGCACCGTGGTCACGTGTTGGGCCGCTAACTGCCACGTCAGCCGTTCGAAACCACAGACTGCTCTGTGGGAGAGAGAAGAGGCTCTCGACTCCCGTCACGAGTTGCAGTCTCAGAGACGCACAGGGCCTCTGTGCGTCTCTCCTTTGCAGGGAAAGAGTTGAGCTAGGCAGTGTTCTCTTTCCGTCTAATAGCAGATCGACCGGTCAACAGTGACCGGGTTAGCCTTAGGTGACGCGCCTGAGACACAGAGTGGGGAAGTCATCTGTCCAGGGTGACTTACCTTGTGAAGAGAACTTTGCGCTGGATGCCACCCTGCCTCTCTGGACACACCTACCTCAGGTGGCAAGGTGAGAGAGGAGCAGAAGAGGCCCGGAGTCCCTACACGGTACCAGCAGAGCACCCATGCACGGCTAGAATCACGACCCCTGCTTTATAAATGCTCCTGAGGACCAGTGGGCTCAGGGCACCCCAAGTGTATCAGAGTGGACCTGGGCTCCCCGGGTTCTCAGGGGCTGATGGTTTGTGTGTCTTTTTAAAGTCGATCACCAGGCCTTTCTTCTGAGGCACCTCTGGGTGGGCTTCTCCATGTCTAAGCCCGCTTCACGTCTCAGCAGCATGCCCTGTGGAAACCCCAGGCCCGTCTCGGGGAAGCTGGGGCTCTGCCTGCCTGCTGGCACAGCTCCTCTGGAGAATCTTGGGGGGGACAGGACAGGCAGGAGAGGGACAGGGGGCCTCCACAGCTGTTTATTCCCTCTCGGCTGGGGCAGAAGAGGGCTGCACGCTGTGCGGGAGGCCTCGGGGAGGGGGGAGGTCAGTGCCCACACTCACCTGGCCCCACAGCAGCTCTCCAATCGCAATGAAGAGACACCAAAACCACTG